CGATGCGAGAGTGTGCGACAGGTGTGTGTGTTGGCCGAACATGTGTGGTGTCGCGACTCGCCGGATCATGTTGATGAAGCTTGGGAGGAGGAGGAGGCCCGGCGTCCTGGCGAGGCGTCGTCCCACGCTGTCGAGGAGAGCGGCACCCCGAGGCGACATGGCCCCGGACGCCGCAGTTAAAGCAGCGCGGAAGCGGCGGCGGCGATGACTGGCGGCCGAAGCGGCTCGACCCATCCCGGGCCAGCCGCGCTCCCGTCCCCTGCTGTCGACGATGGTTGACGGCGAAGACCTCCTCCGCCGGAAGGGTGGCTGCCGCCACCGCATGCCCAGCCGCTGCCCTGCTGGCCTTCCTCCGCTGCGACAGCAAGTGTGCGTGGAGGAGTCGCGCCGCTTGTAGAGAAGTCATCTCAGAATCCTCCTGTGCCACGACGGCGATGTCCAGGTCGTCTGCTAGCAGGAGGATTTTCTCGGTTACCATGGCGTCGACCCCGTCCTCGTCCATGCGAGGAAAGGCTGTCTTGGCCAATGCCAGGAGGCTTGTCCTGTAAGCCAGCGGCGACTCCTTCGCGCCCCGCTGGCGATCGTAGAACTGCTGCCTACACTCCGCGGAAGGCCCGTAGACTCCGGCCAGCAGCTGCAGCGCCATCGGCAGCGTAGAGCGCCTTTCCTTCGGCGCCGATGTTAGGGCGGCAAGCGCGTCGCCGTCAAGGAGCGCCGGCAGGGCGCTGAGAGCTTCAGCGTCTGTCCATTTGGCCATTTCTTGGTGGGCGAGGAAGCGTCTTTGAAAGCCGCCCCAGTCGCCCTCTGCGCCCACGAATTCTTTAAGCGGGGGCAGCCTTTGGTGCAGCGCAGCGGTTGCCGTGGAGTCCCGTGGGCTGCTGTCTCCCCGACTCGGCTGTGTCTCGGCGCGAACGGCAGATGGTATCGCCTGTCGCAGCCTTGATGACGCGCCCTCCTCCGTCGTAGATGCGGCAGCCCCAGCACGGCTGATGTCGGACCCCAGGTTGAGGTTGGCCACGCCCCTAGCGGTCGCCGCGTCGATGGCGGGAAATTCAAAATTTGAATCTTCCGAAATGGCGGGAAGGCGCTCTGGACGCCGGCTCCCCTCGCCCCGCGGTAGACCACCAGCCCCCAGCCGTGTGATGTTCTCGAGCGTAGCGGCAGCGGCGTAGAGCAGTTCCGCCAGCCTCTCGTGAGCCAGCCTCAGGTCGTCTGTCCGCTGCTCTTCTTCATGGCGACGCTCCGGTAAGAACGCGTCTTGCCCCGGCTGCACGTTATCTTGTTGAGCCATCTCGGGCTCGACAATTTCGGCGGCGTCTTCCGTTTGCTGTTCCCTGGCTCGAGCTGATTGGCGCGTGTCCATGTTCTTAGTTCTTCTGACGCCAGATGAAGTACTCTTGAAGACGCGTGGACAACGTGGTAAGGCACACGTATTTATTTGCACAATGTCTTACAGCACTGGAGGGATGTATCGGCCCCCTCACCCGTACAACTGGGAATTCACCCCTAGCTAGCCTTCCTAGCCGAGTCCTCCGCTAACGGGCTAGGGGAGGCTGTCTGGCCCGACACTGGTCAGTCGGGCTACGGTACCCGGAATCCCAGAGGTCTAACTCTGGTTCCGGGACCACGCCACTGGCTCCAGCCTGCACTGCCCTTACAAGGGCGGCGTCCCAGGGGGAGTCCAGGGCCTATCTGGCCGGTCTTCTCTCTTCCCTTAACTACACTAAGACTGAGCCCCGAGCTCTCTGGCTCAACCCTTTTTATACCCCCCTAGAGGATCGAAACCCCCCTCACGCCGTCCAGTACGGACGTCGTTGCGAGCACCACCCCGTGTGCTCACGGAGTCCCCGCCCACTGTGTTTGTTATCCGTTAGCCCCTATGCAAACAGCCCTACACAAACAACCCCTCTGTAACAGCCCTACATTTGTAGAGAAATACTCCAGTATCGTTCCTTCAATAGAGGGGTAGATTTGATTACGTCACTTGTGAACCCTTCTTGTGTGAAGTGCGGGGGGAGGATGAAGGAACGAAACAGGAGGATTTCTCCACAAATCTGGCTGTCGCCTGATGAAGCTAGTTGTAATTACTGTCGAAAAGTCATACTCAGAATGTAAATTTTTGGATTTACTCTCCAACACACCGGCTAGTGCAGTACTAGTAATGAATTGGCACGTTCTTTTTACCTGACAAACCTCAATGATTGGCTGTTGTCGGATGGTGGTGGGTTTAACGACACATTCATATATGTACGCGATCTAACCCCAAAAAGCTATACAGTGACCCCTCGTTTATCGCGGTTAATGGGGACCGGAACCCCCCGCGATAAGTGAAAATCCGCGAAGTAGGATTGGCCCCCCTAGGAATTTCCGTATATGTGTGTGTGGTTACCAGAATGTTTAAAATATGTATATTTATACTTTATATATATTACTTAAATCTATTTAATTATAAAACCTTAATATTATACATTCACTCACTCACATATATTTTACTTAAATCTATTTAATTATAAAACCTTAATATTATACAGTACATTCACTCTCTCTCTCATACGATACGTATTATGGTGTTCTACACTCACCAGTTAATTTCGAACACAACACTAAGATACGCGAGACACAGTTGACAGCGTGAACGAGAGTGGCGAGATACAACAAGGGAAGAAGCTGGGAGAGGATGCGATGATGCGCAGCCAATCAGCTCACGGGATACTGTACATCCACTCGTGCTCTCATTCGTCGATCTCGCGCCGGGAACCAATCACGTGCCTTGTCTGAGTGCCCGTCGGTACAGTATGTACAAAGCCTCTGAGAGAGTTTCTCTCTTTGTCTGGCATCCTGGGAAACCGTTTCTCTCGCGCATCACGATGAAACAACGCTGCTTTCCGCAATACGGCTGCCGATATGGCGGTATTTTTGAATTTTTATTTTTCGATGAATATTTTTGAAAAATCCGCGATGCACTGAGGCCGCGAAACTTGAACCGCGAAGTGGCGAGGGATTACTGTAGTTCTGAAGCTTTTTATTCACTCATGGTCCAGTAAGGGGGCGTGAGGTCATAAAGTTCAGAATCAGATAACTTATATTTAGATTTTGATTTAAAGCTTTCGTGACTGCAGGGATTCATATTCTTGGTTCTTTCGGTAAAGTCACGTAGAATGGAAATAATAAAATAATATAAATATAAAACAATAAAAATTCTCACGACGTTTCGACTGCAACACAAGCAATCGTCATCAGGTGTGAAATCCACAGCAAGAAAAAAAAATTATTGCTGTGGATTTCACACCTGATGATGATTGCTTGTGTTGCAGTCGAAACGTGAGAATTTTTATTGTTTTATATTTGTATTATTTATTATTTCCCTTCTACGTGACTTTACCGAAAGAACCAAGAATATTTATACTTAGATATTGGAGGAAATCTGATGATCTATGAAGCTCTTCTGTTCCCACAGATGGCGCCAGAAAGTTTTTCACCAGACCAGATAAAAGCGTGACAGAAAGTAACCACCACTGGACTTGCACTCTGGAGAGAGTGGCGGTTGACTCAATAGGGGAGACAGCTGATTAAATAGCCACTAATGCCACCTTCAGTTCAACGCGAATTAGGGCTTTCACGCGAACCAATATCATTCATGATAAAGTTTTTTTTTGGGTTAGATTAATAATGAAGTACTAAACTAAAAGTATTTTATTTTACCAGGTAAGGGCCTACTGAGCTATGTAGCTTGTACTGGTAGGAACCTCCTGGTTACACCAGCCAACAGGGGATTATTGTGTCCGTCCGTCCATCGTGCATCCAAAAATGGGAGGGGTGGGGCTGGGTGGAGAGGGGAGGGTTGGGAGGGGCTGGGTGGGGAGGGGCTGGGTGGGGAGGGGAGGGTGGGGAGGCGCTGGGTTGGGGGTGGGAGCAGTGGGGCTGGGTGGGGAGGGGAGGGTGGGGAGGGGCTGGGTGGGGGGTGGGAGCAGTGGGGCTGGGTGGGGAGGGGCTGGTCACCCCGTGGTGTCCTTATAAACTCAACGTTTAACCTACTCACGCCGGCTTGTGCCCGCCCTCACAGTCGGCCATATTTGCGGAATACACCACGCCGCCATTGACGCTGGCCATTGACCGAGCAACCCAACGTTCCTACCAGCTCCCTCCGCAGGAATGTGTTTTTCAGAAGCGACCTGGCTATTACAAATGATAGCTCAACAAAGTGGCTTACCTTCACGTGGAAATGTACAGCAGCCGAATACTCTTATAAACACCTGTTGATTCATATGCATATCCGTGCAGTATTTTCATGAAGTTGTTGTATGTAGTGTACAATGCACTGTACGTAATATTTAACAATGGAATCAAGTGTAGCTACTTTGTCACGCATGCGGTGCCGACCACCGGACTGGTTACAGCCTTTGGAGCAGTTTCGCCGGATCGGCCCGGGACCGCCGGATAATGTTGGAAGCCAGTTAATCACGTGCTGGATAATCGATGATCAACTGTAATGTTAAGCAAAGCCAAGTCTGAGGACTTGCCCCGCACATAAACGGGTGTCGTTGATTGGCTGAGGGTGCGATTTTAACTTCCTCACCTGGTATATAGAATGTCGTGAGTTTGATTCTGAACTTGACGCCTGCTGTATATTTGGAGCTTGTGTCTCTCCCTTTGCCCGTGGTGGTAGTGTGGATTTTTCCTCCGCATCCTCCGATTTTTACCCTCCACATTTAGAATCATTATGCATTTAAGATAATTTGGCTGCTGCTATACATATCTGTGATGATGATGATGGCAATCAGCCACTTAGTTGAGCTTCTGTCATTTGTGATGGCCAGGTTGCTTCTTAAAAAGAGGTACATAGCCTGGTAAAAGAGAAAATAGTTTCTTTTTAGTAAAAATAAAGTATGCCAAACATCCTCAGGAGAGTGAATGGGCAATATCAGGGCTGCACACCCTTTTATTTTACATTTTTCCTGCATTCATTTGATTGTTTTTCTTTTCTCTCTTTCATCCTCCAGAAGGGGAGCCTGGTAACTCTAATCAGCAAGAATCGACTCCATTGGGCCTGCTTAATTGGAAGGCCCCAATCCCTGAGACTGGACGTTCTGCAGGTAAAGATGAACAGCAAATCACTCAGATTGATTCCAAACAAAATGCTCAGGGCCCTGAAAGGATTGGTGAGTGGCTTTTTCAAACTCCAAAATGTCTGCGTGTACACCACCTTGCCTTGCGGGCCACGGCTGATATTCGACCACAACCTCTCCAGGCTGAGGCAGTGCAGTTTGGCAAAGGTGGTGAGGAAAGGAAAGGAGGTTACAACGTTTGATTTTTAGGCACACCGACCTCCAGCCACCCACAATGCCTAATAGCGGCCATGATTTTCGCTTGTGGTGGAGGAAAGGGCTCGCGAAGGACGCTGCTGCTGCTGGGCAGTGCCAGGCTAGTTGCACAATTGAGGATGCTTACTTTCGGGGGGACAAGTTGGGAGGGCAGTCGGCCTCCAGCAGCAACAATGGAGGGCGGAGGAGAGAGGAGTGGCAGACTCTCCTCCACAGTCAGCGTTTGAACATTCCTCGTGGCCAGTGACAGTGATTTTTTGTTGTTTGTGGAGGAACTCCGAGAGGCTCTGCCAAGTGGTTTGTGGCCAGGATAAGTCGTAGATACAGTGAGGGAAAAAAGTATTTGATCCCCTGCTGATTTTGTACGTTTGCCCACTGACAAAGAAAGGATCAGTCTATAATTTTAATGGTAGGTTTATTTAAACAGTGAGAGACAGAATAACAACAACAAAATCCAGGAAAACGCATGTCAAAAATGTTATAAATTGATTTGCATTTTAATGAGGGAAATAAGTATTTGACTCCCTCTCAATCAGAAAGATTTTTGGCTCCCATGTGTCCTTTATACAGGTAACGAGCTGAGATTAGGAGCACACTCTTAAAGGGAGTGCTCCTAATCTCAGCTTGTTACCTGTATAAAAGACACCTGTTCACAGAAGAAATCAATCAGATTCCAAACTCCCCACCATGGCCAAGACCAAAGAGCTCTCCAAGGATGTCAGGGACAAGATTGTAGACCTACACAAGGCTGGAATGGGCTACAAGACCATCGCCAAGCAGCTTGGTGAGAAGGTGACAACAGTTGGTGCGATTATTCACAAATGGAAGAAAAACAAAAGAACTGTCAATCTCCCTCGGCCTGGGGCTCCATGCAAGATCTCACCTCGTGGAGTTGCAATGATCATGAGAATGGTGAGGAATCAGCCCAGAACTACACGGGAGGATCTTGTCAATGATCTCAAGGCAGCTGGGACCATAGTCAGCAAGAAAACAGTTGGTAACACACTACGCCGTGAAGGACTGAAATCCTGCAGCGCCCGCAAGGTCCCCCTGCTCAAGAAAGCACATATACATGCCTGTCTGAAGTTTGCCAATGAACATCTGAGTGATTCAGAGGACAACTGGGTGAAAGTGTTGTGGTCAGATGAGACCAAAATGGAGCTCTTTGGCATCAACTCAACTCGCCGTGTTTGGAGGAGGAATGCTGCCTATGACCCCAAGAACACCATCCCCACTGTCAAACATGGAGGTGGAAACATTATGCTTTGGGGGTGTTTTTCTGCTAAGGGGACAGGACAACTTCACCGCATCAAAGGGTCAATGGACGGGGCCATGTACCGTCAAATCTTGGGTGAGAACCTCCTTCCCTCAGCCAGGGCATTGAAATTGGGTCGTGGATGGGTATTCCAGCATGACAATGACCCAAAACACACGGCCAAGGCAACAAAGGAGTGGCTCAAGAAGAAGCACATTAAGGTCCTGGAGTGGCCTAGCCAGTCTCCAGACCTTAATCCCATAGACAATCTGTGGAGGGAGCTGAAGGTTCTAGTTGCTAAACGTCAGCCTCGAAACCTTAATGACTTGGAGAAGATCTGCAAAGAGGAGTGGGACAAAATCCCTCCTGAGATGTGTGCAAACCTGGTGGCCAACTACAAGAAACGTCTGACCTCTGTGATTGCCAACAAGGGTTTTGCCACCAAATTGATTCCAAGAACACAGGATGAGATGTTACTATCCTTTGTGCAAGCACTTCCAAGAGTTCATGAACAGCGAGCCTGGTGAAATTTGGGGAGCGCATCGTCAGTAGTGTACCTTTGGTTCCTAGGGTGTTTCGGCCTTTCACACTATACACCCTCCCCAAAGGCGGCCAGCGACAGGGTGATCAATCCTACGCTTGCGTCCCATTCCCAATTAGTCATAGGAGTTGCCTTGTTGTTGATAGCCAACATCCCATGGGACTATGCATGGCAGGGGCGTCCTCCTCCCTGAGTCAAGCATTGTTGACCGCATACCTCCCGGCCCTCTCACTTCGGGGCCCAGCTGGGGTCTTTCCTCTTCATCCAGAGCCACTGACTGCTGCCTTCTGCCGCCTCCGATACGGCTCTGATTGCCGAACGCTGGCTCTGGCCCTTAATTCCCAGGTCTCTAAGCAGTCTGGTTGTAGATGTTGCCACTGTGATTTCCAACAAGGGTTTTGCCACCAAGTACTAAGTCATGTTTTGCAGAGGGGTCAAATACTTATTTTCCTCATTAAAATGCAAATCAATTTATAACATTTTTGACATGTGTTTTTCTGGATTTTGTTGTTGGTATTCTATCTCTCACTGTTTAAATAAACCTACCATTAAAATTATAGACTGATCATTTCTTTGTCAGTGGGCAAACGCACAAAATCAGCAGGGGATCAAGTACTTTTTTCCCTCACTGTAGCTACTTTGTCACGCACGCAGTGCCGATTACGTGACTAGTTACAGCCTTTGGAGCGGTTTCGCCGGATCGGCCCGCGACCGGCGGATAATGTTGGAAGCCAGTTAATCGCGCGCTGGATAATCGATGATCAACTGTCATGTTCAGCAAAGCCAAGTCTGAGGACTTGCCCCGCACATAAACGGGTGTCGCTGATTGGCTGAGGGTGAGATTTTAACTTCCTCACCAGGTATATAGAATGTCGTGAGTTTGATTCTGACCCTGATGCCTGCTATATATTTGGAGCTTGTGTCTCTCCCTCTGCCCGTGGTGGTAGTGTGGATTTGTCCTCCGCATCCTCCGATTTTTACCCTCCACATTTTGAATCAATATCATTCATTTAAGATAATTTGGCTGCTGCTATACATATCTGTGATGATGATGGCAATAAGCCACTTAGTTGAGCTTCTGTCATTTGTGATGGCCAGGTTGCTTCTTAAAAAGAGCTACATAGCTTGGTGAAAGAGAAAATAGTTTCTTTTTAGTAAAAATAAAGTATGCCAAACATCCTCAGGAGAGTGAATGGGCAATATCAGGGCTGCACACCCTTTTATTTTACATTTTTCCTGCATTAATTTGATTGTTTTTCTTTTCTCTATTTCATCCTCCAGAAGGGGAGCCTGGTAACTCTAATCAGCAAGAATCGACTCCATTGGGCCTGCTTAATTGGAAGGCCCCAATCCCTGAGACTGGACGTTCTGCAGGTAAAGATGAACAGCAAATCACTCAGATTGATTCCAAACAAAATGCTCAGGGCCCTGAAAGGATTGGTGAGTGGCTTTTTCAAACTCCAAAATGTCTGCGTGTACACCACCTTGCCTTGCGGACCACGGCTGATATTCGACCACAACCTCTCCAGGCTGAGGCAGTGCAGTTTGGCAAAGGTGGTGAGGAAAGGAAAGGAGGTTACAACGTTTGATTTTTAGGCACACCGACCTCCAGCCACCCACAATGCCTAATAGCGGCCATGATTTTCGCTTGTGGTGGAGGAAAGGGCTCTCGAAGGACGCTGCTGCTGCTGCTGGGCAGTGCCAGGCTAGTTGCACAGTTGAGGATGCTTACTTTCGGGGGGACAAGTTGGGAGGGCAGTCGGCCTCCAGCAGCAACAATGGAGGGCGGAGGAGAGAGGAGTGGCAGACTCTCCTCCACAGTCAACGTTTGAACATTCCTCGTGGCCAGTGACAGTGATTTTTTGTTGTTTGTGGAGGAACTCCGAGAGGCTCTGCCAAGTGGTTTGTGGCCAGGATAAGTCGTAGATACAGTGAGGGAAAAAAGTTTTTGATCCCCTGCTGATTTTGTACGTTTGCCCACTGACAAAGAAATGATCAGTCTATAATTTTAATGGTAGGTTTATTTAAACAGTGAGAGACAGAATAACAACAACAAAATCCAGGAAAACGCATGTCAAAAATGTTATAAATTGATTTGCATTTTAATGAGGGAAATAAGTATTTGACCCCCTCTCAATCAGAAAGATGTTTGGCTCCCATGTGTCCTTTATACAGGTAACGAGCTGAGATTAGGAGCACACTCTTAAAGGGAGTGCTCCTAATCTCAGGTTGTTACCTGTATAAAAGACACCTGTTCACAGAAGAAATCAATCAGATTCCAAACTCCCCACCATGGCCAAGACCAAAGAGCTCTCCAAGGATGTCAGGGACAAGATTGTAGACCTACACAAGGCTGGAATGGGCTACAAGACCATCGCCAAGCAGCTTGGTGAGAAGGTGACAACAGTTGGTGCGATTATTCACAAATGGAAGAAATACAAAAGAACTGTCAATCTCCCTCGGCCTGGGGCTCCATGCAAGATCTCACCTCGTGGAGTTGCAATGATCATGAGAATGGTGAGGAATCAGCCCAGAACTACACGGGAGGATCTTGTCAATGATCTCAAGGCAGCTGGGACCATAGTCAGCAAGAAAACAGTTGGTAACACACTACGCCGTGAAGGACTGAAATCCTGCAGCGCCCGCAAGGTCCCCCTGCTCAAGAAAGCACATATACATGCCTGTCTGAAGTTTGCCAATGAACATCTGAGTGATTCAGAGGACAACTGGGTGAAAGTGTTGTGGTCAGATGAGACCAAAATGGAGCTCTTTGGCATCAACTCAACTCGCCGTGTTTGGAGGAGGAATGCTGCCTATGACCCCAAGAACACCATCCCCACTGTCAAACATGGAGGTGGAAACATTATGCTTTGGGGGTGTTTTTCTGCTAAGGGGACAGGACAACTTCACCGCATCAAAGGGACAATGGACGGGGCCATGTACCGTCAAATCTTGGGTGAGAACCTCCTTCCCTCAGCCAGGGCATTGAAATTGGGTCGTGGATGGGTATTCCAGCATGACAATGACCAAAAACACACGGCCAAGGCAACAAAGGAGTGGCTCAAGAAGAAGCACATTAAGGTCCTGGAGTGGCCTAGCCAGTCTCCAGACCTTAATCCCATTGAAAATCTGTGGAGGGAGCTGAAGGTTCTAGTTGCTAAACGTCAGCTTCGAAACCTTAATGACTTGGAGAAGATCTGCAAAGAGGAGTGGGACAAAATCCTTCCTGAGATGTGTGCAAACCTGGTGGCCACCTACAAGAAACGTCTGACCTCTGTGATTGCCAACAAGGGTTTTGCCACCAAATTGATTCCAAGAACACAGGATGAGATGTTACTATCCTTTGTGCAAGCACTTCCAAGAGTTCATGAACAGCGAGCCTGGTGAAATTTGGGGAGCGCATCGTCAGTAGTGTACCTTTGGTTCCTAGGGTGTTTCGGCCTTTCACACTATACACCCTCCCCAAAGGCGGCCAGCGACAGGGTGATCAATCCTACGCTTGCGTCCCATTCCCAATTAGTCATAGGAGTTGCCTTGTTGTTGATAACCAACATCCCATGGGACTATGCATGGCAGGGGCGTCCTCCTCCCTGAGTCAAGCATTGTTGACCGCATACCTCCCGGCCCTCTCACTTCGGTGCCCAGCTGGGGTCTTTCCTCTTCATCCAGAGCCACTGACTGCTGCCTTCTGCCGCCTCCGATACGGCTCTGATTGCTGAACGCTGGCTCTGGCCCTTAATTCCCAGGTCTCTAAGCAGTCTGGTTGTAGATGTTGCCACTGTGATTTCCAACAAGGGTTTTGCCACCAAGTACTAAGTCATGTTTTGCAGAGGGGTCAAATACTTATTTTCCTCATTAAAATGCAAATCAATTTATAACATTTTTGACATGTGTTTTTCTGGATTTTGTTGTTGGTATTCTGTCTCTCACTGTTTAAATAAACCTACCATTAAAATTATAGACTGATCATTTCTTTGTCAGTGGGCAAACGCACAAAATCAGCAGGGGATCAAGTACTTTTTTCCCTCACTGTAGCTACTTTGTCACGCACGCGGTGCCGATTACGTGACTAGTTACAGCCTTTGGAGCGGTTTCGCCGGACCGTTCCGAGACCACCGGATAATGTTGGAAGCCAGTTAATCGCGCGCTGGATAATCGATGATCAACTGTCATGTTAAGCAAAGCCAAGTCTGAGGACTTGCCCCGCACATAAACGGGTGTCGCTGATTGGCTGAGGGTGAGATTTTAACTTCCTCACCAGGTATATAGAATGTCGTGAGTTTGATTCTGACCCTGACGCCTGCTGTATATTTGGAGCTTGCGTCTCTCCCTCTGCCCGTGGTGGTAGCGTGGATTTGTCCTCCGCGTCCTCCGATTTTTCGCCTCCACATTTAGAATCAACGTGACGCAGTATTTGGCTGCTGCTATACATATCTCCGCGATGATGATCGTAATCAGCCACTTAGTTGAGTCGCTGTGATTTGTGATGGCCAGGTCGCATCTTAAAAAGAGCTAGATAGCTAAGTGGGGTCTCACCTGGTAAAATTAAAAATAGTAATTTTTTTGTAAATATGAAGTGTGCCAAACATCTTTGGTAGATTTTGATTTAAAGCTTTCGTGACTGCAGGGATTTATCTTCTTGGTTCTTTCGGTAAAGTCACGTAGAAGGGAAATAATAAAATAATACAAATAAAACATAATAAAACAATTCTCACGACGTTTCGGCCACAACGCAAGCAGCCGTCCTCAGGTGAAGAACAGGTCTGTCAGCATTCAGACGCTGTCTTTCCGGCAGACCTGTCCTTCACCTGAGGACGGCTGCTTGCGTTGTGGCCGAAACGTCGTGAGAATTGTATTATTTTATTATGTTTTATTTTTATTATTTTATTATTTCCCTTCTACGTGATGACTTTACCGAAAGAACCAAGAAGATCTTCGGTAGAGTGAACGGGCAATATCAGGGCTGCAGACCCTTTTTAACATTTTGCCTGCATTCATTTGATTGTTTTTCTTTTCTCTCTTTCATCCTCCAGAAGGGGAGCCTGGTAACTCTAATCAGCAAGAATCGGCTTCATTGGGCCTGCTTAAAGAGAAGGCCCCAATCCCTGAGACTGGACCTTCTGCAGGTCAAGATGAACGGCAAATCATGCAAATTGATTCCAAACAAAATACTCGAGGCGCTGCAAGGGTTGGTGAGTGGCTTTTTCAAACTCCAAAATATCTGCGTGTACACTATCTTGTCTTGCGGGCCACGACTGATATTCAACCACAACCTCTCCAGGCTGAGGCAGCACAGGTTGGCAAAGGTGGTGAGGAAAGGAAAGCAGGGAACAACATTTTATTTTTAGGCACGTCGACCTCCAGCCACCCACAATGCCTAACAGCGGTCATGATTGTCGCACGTGGTAGAGGAGAAGGCTCGCGAAGGATGCTGCTGCTGCTAGGCAGGATAGTTGCACAGTTGAGGACGCTTACTTTCGGGGGGACAATTTTGGAGGGCAGTCTGCCTCCAGCAGCAACAATGGAGGGCGGAGGAGCGACGCTGCTCGTGACAACGAGATGAGCGCCCGGGCGCATTAAAAGCAGCGAGTTGGTGCAGTAGGGGGCAAAGGTGGTGGTGGTCCAGCAACCGATAACAACAACAACCGCCATTCCCCACTAAGTGGCGGTGACATCACCACAGCGCTTGTGCCAGGTTATGTGCACTTTAAGGCAACGTGAAGTGTCGAACGCCTGCTGGCACGAGGTCACATGACAGACCCAGGTGCCATGGGTTGACTGACTGAGATGACTGGCCGATGCACCACTTGTGCTCCCTACTGTGCCAACTTGTGTTTTTACCTGCATGGCTCTCCGCTCATTATTGTGAGCGTTTATCCTCTACCCTTCGTGGTTGCTGGAAGGCGACTGCCTCCAACTGCCCAGTATCAGCATCCTTTATGAGCCTCCTCCACAGAGGCCAATTTTTATACCGCTGGTACCACTAAACGGCAAATCCACTCAGCTCCACATCCTCTTTTACCACAGCATTCCATCTCTTTTCTAGCCCATGCCAAGCACATTTAGACTCCTCTATCTGGCCGAACAAAAGCTGTTTGGACATGCCGTGGCTGGGCATGTTGGCTACATGACCCATCTCTTATTGGCTCACTCCAGGCTCAGCAGCAGCTCCATCTCCTCCTCTGAGTGAGAAGCAATGACCACATCATCAGCATACTTAACATGATTGATCAATCGGGAGTCATCCCTCAACTGCAAATGGGCATCAATCAGCCTCTCATTGTATCTGTACGAGATAGATATTCCTCTGGTACAGCCATAGAAGACTTCTCGAACTACGTGGTTGAAAAAGATGTTAATTAATGTTGGAGTCAGAGAACATCTTTGTCGCACCACAAGGTGACTAGAGAATATCTCTGACTACCGGCCACCATCATGAAGGTCCTTAATGATTGAGAGCAGAGAGTCAGGGACTCCGATAGCATGAAGAACAACCCAGAGCCTAGGCATATTGATGTTTTCATAGGCCTTAACCAGGTAAATAAAGCAGAGATGTAGATCCTGTTGGAATTCCCTACACCTCTGCTGTAGCAAACAGACAGAAAATATGGCATCCGTGCAGGACCGCCCTGGTCTGAAACCACATTTGGGCTTGGCAAGCTTCTCCTCAGCGTTCCTGGAAAGGCGATGTTGAATAATCCTTGCCAGGACCTTTCCCGGCACACTGAAGAGGGAGATGCCCCTGTAGTTGATACAGTCTGTGCGGTCCCCCTTCTTAAAGAGTGGAACCACCAGGGCATCCTTCCAATCCTGCAGAACCCATCTGGTGGTTCAGACTGTTATTACGATCTCATATATAAATCAGTCTGCACACAAACGCCACCATCTCTCAGTATTTCACTTGGGAGATCATATCTGCCTGGCGCTTCTTATTAGACTCTGGATTGCCGTCGGCAATTCCTCAACAGGGGGTGACTACTTTTTCGAGTATTTGAGGCATGGCAGCCTCAGCAGGGTCATCCCCATTTTACCCCTGTCTTCCAGGCTGAGGGATTCCCCCTCCCCCACGGCCTCACAGAAATGCAAAAAAAAAATCAGAAAATATATTTCTGGGGATCGGAGATTGGATCACCTTTCTTTCCCCTAAGGATGGTCATAGCTGTGGCGATGCAAGTTACTTTTGTTATGGAGTTAAAGAGTGATTTGTGATCGCGGCCTACTTCGGCTGACTCCATTTCCTAAGCGACCCGTGACCACAACCCATCCTTGCAGTACTGCAGGGCTCTCTGAACCTCTGAGCGATAAGCCTCCTCATTGTCTGAGGTGGGATGCTGTAGCTGGTGAGTGGGCCTGTCGCTTTTTCTTAGCTAGTCAGAACACCCCCTCCATCAGCCAGGGTATCTTGGGAGGATTGGACTATGTACCAAAAGCAGCCACTGCAGCTGCAAGAGCCACAGTCATAACCCTCATCCATTTCCCCTCAGCATCAGGAGGAGGGGGGGGGGGCGGACGATGCCAACCTTAGCTGTAAGCGAAGATGAATTCTCACTTGCTACTTTCATCAGCTAGCTGAGACCAGGCCACTGTGGGTTTCAATGGGGTCCTAGATGGACACCCACCAGTGGAGTGGAAGAATGGCATGTATATCTTACAGATGACAAGCTGATGGTCAGTGGACAGATCAGCTCCATGGTAGGTCCTGGAGTCAGGGACATGGCCCGGCATCCAATGTTCTATCACTGTATAGTGCAGCAGATGTTCTTTCTTGGACCCAGCATGCATCCATATGCCAATGCTGGAACACCGTATTAGTAATTACAAGCCCATGGGATACACAGAAGCCTAGCAGCCTCCTATCATTATTATTGAGCTGATCTGGCCTATGCCTTCCAATCACTCCTGCCCAGGTAACCGGCATCATCACCCACTCGGGCATTAAAGTCACTCAACAGGATGAGTCTATCCCGGGGGGCCACTTTAGCTCACATCTGTGACAGGAGGTCATAAAAGGCATCTGACTAATCAACTTCGCCTGCATCCCTCCACTGATAATCATCTTCGGGAGGGCATAAACAATCACCCACACCACTTTGTGTCCTCTTGTTGATGGGGAGGAGAGCCCACAGTCACCTGGAACTTACAGCTTCCTACACCTCACCGCCATGTTTTCATGTCCCCTTCATTTTTTTGATCAGAAGAAGAGTCATTCTCTGTTGTTTGGCAGTCTCCTGCCCCGAGTAGAGGACTGTCCACCCCTCATGGTGACTGGAGCCAAAGCTGGTCCACCCGACCTTCAGGACACCACAGAGATCCAGGCGGTACTGGTCCAGCTCCTGACAGAGGAGTAGCAGCCTCTCCTCCACAGCGAGCATTAGAATATTCCCCATGGCCAGTCACGGTGGTTTTTAGCCATTTGTGGAGTAACCCCGAGGGTATGGATTCAGTCTCCTCGCTCTGCCAAATGGGGGTTGGCCAGGAGAAGTCGTAGATGTTTGTCTCCCTGGAGCCTCTGGCACAAGCTTAGTTCGATATTTTGCACCTAGTTTAGTGGTCATTGAATTGAAGCTGGAGGGGTTTCCAGCCCCTTGCACCAATCCAGAGCACCGATTTGGCCGCTGTGGTGGCTACAAGTGCCATGAGGTGGGTATAGCCGACAGGAATTGGCCATCCCTCAATGGTATTGCTCACAACCACCACCGTGTTATCGTCCAGTACCACCACAGAGGTAAAGGGTTGCTTTTGCCGGACTCCTCCACTATATATACATGAAAACACAGAGAGAAGAGAGACAGAGCAGCACACCAGTATTTACTGTGGCGTCTCCTCCATTACTCACCAGAGGTTCGAGACATGGATAAGTCGAAGGCTGCCAAGCTGATCAAAGGGAAGAGGCCGGAACTGAAGCAGTGGATTGGCAGGGACCCCACGTACCTGCTCGACTACTTGGACAGCAGGGATTTGATCTCTCGCGACATATACCGCGGGGCCCGCGACATCACGATGAAAGTGGAACGTGCCAACTTTTTGATTGACGAGTTCATCGACAGGAATGAGTGCCTCAAGCTCTGGAGGGCTCTCGAAAGCCTACAGGACCACTACCCCCAGCTGGAGGAGTGGATCTCAGCCTGTGCATCGACCATGCCTCACGCTTGTGGTAAATTAATGCAAAACGAAACTCTGCTGTGTTGATATAAAAAAAATACTACTGATGTTATGGCTTTGTTGTGTTTGGAACTCATTGGACTACACCAGAGACAGCCTTGTTCATGGCCTTGTCTTTGCCGGACAATGCAAGCAAACACTGCTTTGATAATAATAATCGTAGTAATAATAATAAGAACACATTGTCGTGTTTGGTACTCATTGGCATTTACAGCGCTGCCACAGTCGTGGAACCAAAACTCGGGTGCCCTCCTTGCTAAGAGGCACACGGGCGCGAAACATCGCCCCGGTGAGTGAACAAAACAAATCTCGTCACACGATTGACTCCTGTCCCGTATAGGAAAGCCGAGTTGTTTCATGTGGTTTGTTTGTTTTGAAGTTTGAGGAACAAAAAAATTAAGATAGATGAAAAATAACAAATAGGTGTGATTTATATACACAACATTGTCTGGCAATAATAACAACAGGAGGTGGTATTTAGATGTAATTCAGACTTTTGATGCCTTTTGCAAGGTATCATCATGTACTGCATTAACCGACGCCCACATCATACTTGTGGACAAACATGCAAATATGCTCTGATAATAATAACGTATGGCATTGTCTTTGAAACTGATTGGCCTACTACACGAGAGCCTTCTGTATGGCCTTGTCCCTGCACTCCTAGCAGTGTGTTAGTAGACCAGAGAACGCACAAATGCGACCAGTTCAAAGACAATGCGAGTATCAAAGTTACAGATATATAACAGCTCAACCCGAGCTATAAGCGGTCAGTTGCTTGGCATTGTCTCTGTACTGTTCACCTTTTAGCGTTGGTCTACTCACACTACTACTAGGCCATACAGAATAATGCTGTCGCTAGTGTAGTAGGCCAGTTTCAAAGACGATGCATACAACATTATCATGGAATGTTTCTTTGCACGGATTTGCCACACAAGTATGATGTGTGTGGGTTACTGCACTA